GGGTTGCAGGCCACGTCCCCAGTTGGGGCTACGTGAGAGGCGACCACACATTGATATTTCTCTATCTCTCTCCCTCGCTTCCCCTCTCTAAAAATAAATAAATACAATCTTTAAAAAAAGTTTGTAAAAGATAATTATAGCTGATCAAAAGTTTCCTGAAGGAAAGGGTGATATGACAGAGAGCAACTGGAGAAGCCTTTTAAGATAGGAAGGAAAGGGGTGAGATGCATGGGAGTTAGGAACACAGGCTCTGCAGTAAGACGGTCTGAGGTTCAGACCTCAACCTTCCACTTACCATCTGTTTGTCTTCGGAAGAGTATTGTAACCTCTCTGAGTCTCAGTTTAGGTTGTTGCAAAAATTAAAAAAATACAGACAAAATGCATGATAAGCACTTGTTATAATGTATTCTGGCCATTGTCGTCTGGGTTGTGACAAAATCATTTTGAATGTCTTTTCTAGAAAGTTCTATATTTTTGTGGTCCAATTTTCTTTTTTTCTTTAAAGAGAAGGAAAAAAGAAAATTTTCTCATCACTTTTCAGGTTTCAAAAGCTTTCAGTGAGTAAAAGATGGGTAATTGCCATTTCTACTTAACTTTGTAGTCTCCAAGCTGAATGTCTTTAAATAGGAAGAAGCAGCCATAAGTGTTGCAAAGTTCAAAATCTATTACCTAAAGGATATGGTTAATATCGCCCATCTTGAAGTGTAATTGTCTTTTTAAGAGCGGAGCTGGCTAAAGAAAGCCTTGGTTGATTAAAATAAATTCTAAATCAACCATTAAATAAAAATTGCTCTTAATTTAATTCATTGCATATGGTTCCAGGGTGTGACAAACCAAAGGATTTGTGGGGTGAACAGAATAGATTTATTGTTTCTCTGCATTTATGTGTAAACAGATTAGAATGAATGGTTTCTCACACGACACTGTTCAGAGACCCTGAAGTGCACACCACCCCACTGGTGGTGTGGCTGCGGCAGCTCGTCCCAGGGGTCTGCAAGGCAGGAGCACATTGTAGAAAAACTCTAGCCCAAGAGCAGATAGTGTGTTTTCCTCCTGACTCTGCTGTTTCCTCATAGTGTGGATGAATCTGTGCATCCCTCACTCCTACCTCCTCACAAACATTTTAGGCATTCTCTATTTACATATATTATCTATGAAATCAATTCCAGAGAGGCTGAAATGTCTTCCTTATGAAGTCTCTTCTTTGGTTTCAAAGCAGTGTCCCCATAAGAGTTTTGCTTAAAGGCTTATGGAGGGAAGAACTTATAAGAGAACTGCTCTTGCTTGTCAATATACTAGAGTTGTAAGTTAAAGGTACCAGTCACCCCCCTTTGCTATGTATTGGAGTTAACATAGTTAAGAACAACCTGGGCCATATGGGTTTGAAATGAAGCTTTATTAATTGCCCGATAATTGTCCCCTCCCCCCATATGGTCCTGATGTATTTGACTGAATGGTGCTGAAGGACATGACTGAGATCAGGTGCTCAAATGAGGCTTCCTAGTTCCCTGCCCTCTAGGGCCTCTGGACGGAGATTAGGGCTGGTGTGATCTACCCATTTACCCGTCACTGGCATAGAAGCTGGGGAATTGCACATCTCACTGGCTGGGACAGTTCCTGCTGGGCCAACTGCATAGTGACAAGCAGGAAAGGACAGGGGGATAAGGATTGAGAGAGAGAGAATGAGAGAGAGAGAGAGAGAGAGAGAGGGAGAGAGAGAGAGAGCATGCACACGAGAGAGATCTCTGCTCTAATGAGCTGCCCACTAGTTCACAGAGTTCCTGATGGAGGATCGCTTGTCTATGCCTGTAAGAAGAGGTGCTCAGCAAACAGTGCATTTCTTTCCCCATTTTCACTTTTGTTTTCTTTTTATGTATTTACATCTTCATTAGTTCAAGTTCTTAGGTGGCTCACACTCTGGTATCCTGTGTTCGTGCTGTTAGTTTGGCTCATTTTCCAAGTACTTTTTGACTTTTCCATGATTCTCTAATGTGCCCACCCCTATTTCCTCAGCCTTCAACTAGTCTCAAGAATTACTTCTCTGATGTTTGTGTTTAATTATGCCATAACATTTTTTTTTCGTAATAATCTTTGATGCCTTAACACAAAGTTGCAATTCATATAAAAATTTCGGGTTTCAAGGTAGGCAAGTGGAGAAAATGTTTTAGTTACAGAAAATTTCTCTGCCCCTCAAATTATGTAGAATCATGCTCTGCTTATACACAAAATTGCTCTTTGCCATGGCCATCATAGATTTTGTCCTTACCTGAATCTCTGACAAACTGAATCTGATTGCTTCCAAAGTCGTATAAGGAACCGAAAAAAACAACGTTATTCTCTCCATTTGACAGTCTCTAATTCAGAATGAGAAGGATTGAAGGAGCTGAGGATGTTTAGTGTAAAAAAGATAAACTACCTGGGGGAATGTGATATGTGTCATGTATTTAAAATCTATTGTTTGGAGAGGGTTTGTTCTGTCACATCCAAAGGGTATGACTGGGAGCTTTTCATTGACTCATTTGCAGACTTGGAGAATTCTTCATCCAGGGAATAGACTGCCCTTACTTCTTGACCTTGAAGATGTTTAAGCAGAGACTAAGTGACTACCTGCCACAGTGCTGCGGGGTGTCCTCTGTGTGGAGAAAAGGTTAGCCTAATGATTTCTAGGTTTCTTCCCATGCTGAGATCTAATGGTGCTTGTCTTTTCTCTCCTCTACCAGTTGTCTTTCCTGCTTAAGGTCTGGAGAAGCATTTGAAGAAAAGCACTAGAAACTTCATACTTCTACAGTTGCCAGATTTCTTAGCTTTGTTATAGGCAAAACAACTCCTAGAAGCCTTGGCCATGAGATATTAGAATAAGCTTATAAAGGACCTGATAAACCAGGGGGTATTGTGCTAATATTCAAAAGGTATCTTAGAATTGTAAGAATTTCAGAATATTCATGTCAGCCTACATGACTAATTTTTAAAAATTTTTAATTGAATTTATTGAGGTGATATTGGTTAATAAAATTATATGCATTTCAGGTGTACAATTCTATAATACATCATCTATTTATTGTGTTGTGTGTTCACCAGCCCAAGTCAAGTCTCCTTCCATCACCATTTCCCCTATTAATCCTGTTCTACCTCTCTGCCACCTCCTCTCCCTCTGGTAATCACCATGGTCTGACTAATTTTGTTGACAACAGTCCTCCAATTCTTAATGCTTGATTCACTTTAAATGAACTTTTAATAATTCAAGTATATATATACAGGGAGATGCACAAGTCTTAAGTGCAAGCTTGATGGGCTATCACAAAGTGATCACCTTGCAGATCAAGTAATTTGATATGATGCCAGGATTAGAACTGCACCCCCAAAGTCCCCACCCTGCCCACCTGGGTTCTTTCCCAGTCTTTATCCCACCATCTCCTCTCCAAAGTTAGTCATATCCAATTTGTAACATTACAGGTGGGTTTTGCCTAGTTTTGAGTTTTATGTAATCACACCAGCAGCATGTAAGCATTCCAGTTGCTTCACATTCTTCACAGCCCTTCGCATTACAGTGTGCTTTTACTTTAGCCATATTGGGGGGGTGTCATGATGGCACACCAGTTTTTAAACTGGTGCATTTTTCCTGCTGACTAAATGAAGTTGAACACTTTTACTAATGTTTGTTGACATTTCAAATGTCTTCATTTAAAGAGAACCTGTTTATGTATTTTTCTTTATTTTCTACTGGATTGTCTGCCTTTTTGACTTGCAGATGTTCTTTATATATGTTAAATGAGTATTTTGTTGTTATATATTAAAAATATTTTTCTACTATATGTTTTTCATTTTATTGTGTTGATGATATATTCTTACTGAAAAGAAGTTCTTAATTTTAATATAGCCCAATTATCCTTTAAATGCTTTTTGTATACTATTTCAGAAATCTTTCCCTACATGAAGTTTATGAAACTAGTATCTTACATATCATCTATTGCTGTCACTTTAACATTTGTACTTAGATCTAAAATCTACCTGGAGTTAATTTTTGTCTGTGATGTGAGAGAAGGGCCACGTTTCCCCTCCACCCCCCATAAGAATATCCAGTCTGTCTAGGAATGAGCCTTCCCAGCATATCCAACCAAAAGGTTGGTCATCAATGCATCCTTTAGATTGATTTATGACCAAAAAGGGGAACTGTGGATGAAAAAGGGAGTTCTATGGAAAGTAACCTCGCAGGGTGATCTGATCATAAATTCCTAACTGGGCAGGTCATGGTGGGTAGTTGTGTTCCAGGCCTGTAACTTTTTTAGTGAAAGGTTTTAAGCTGCTCTGTCTGTTGTTCTTGCCCACCTGGGTTCGCACACCTTTGAAATACCAGAAGTAATATCCCTTGAAGGGAATATTTATAACCCTCAAGAGAGGATATAATCTTGTTAACTGTCCTGTAATCCAATTCCTGCCTTGCTTCCGCTAATCTTATGTTCCCTCCTGAATTTCAAGTATATAAAAGAAGCTGTAAAACTGTTAATCTGTGAAGCATTTGAGGTCTTCCTCTTTGGCTCAAATAAACTCTTATAAAAATTCTCAAAAAAAAGAAAAAAGAATATCCAATTTGCCCTCAACATTATTGAAAATAAATTTCCCCTACTGATATGCAGTGCTAGCCTTGATATAAATTAATTGTCCATAAAACTGTGGAACTGTTTCTGGACTCTCTTGTTGCAGTGGTCTGTGTGTCTATTTTGCCTTAATTACCATAGCTTTATGTAAGTCTCGATATCCAGTAGTATAATTCCTCTAATTTTGATCTTCTTTCAGATTGTCTTGACTGTTCTTGGCCTTAGCATTTCCATATAAAATTGTGAATCAGTTACAATTTCTGTGATTTAAAAACAAACTGCTGGGTTTTGGAGATAACTGGTTAAATCATTAACCCATCCAATCTAAGTTTTATAGGTTTTGTGCAGAGGTCATGTATATTTTTTATTAGATTTATTCCTAGGTGTTTAATTTTTTCTTTTTTTTCTTATAGCCATTTTCAGGGACCTTAATGACTTCAATGTCTTTAACCCTTGAAATGTGGCTTTACTATTGCCAGCTTTCTCTAAATTTCTGTAGAAACACATTCAGGTAGGCAGACTTATTGGCTGGCTTAAGTTTTCTTTTTAAATGCAGATGTCACTTAAAATATTATATTCTATTTATTTGCTTGTACATAGAATTATTTCCATATTTTTTACATCTCCCTTTTATCTAGGAAACTTGCTAAATTCACTTATGAATTACAATAATAGCTGCAGATTCCTTTGGATATTTTTACCTGCACATGGCATCTGCAAACAGTGACAGTGGTTTGATTTTCATTTCTCCTCCCATTTTCCTCCTCCTCCCTGCCTTTCTCCCTTTTTTCTTTCTTCTCTCCCCTTTTCTTTTTTACCTCTTTTTTTTTCTTTATATCACTGCTCAAATCTCTACTACAGTGTTAAATATAAGCAATGATAGCGGATTTCCTTTTCACATTCCCAGTCTTATGGGAAAAAGCTTCAATATTTCACCATTAATTGTGAATGTTTGCAGTAGGCTTTTTGTTTGTTTCTTTGTTTTGTAGCTACTTTATATCAGATTAAGGAAGTTCTATTTCTAGTTTGCTGAAGTTTTGTCTTTTTACCATAAATAATGTTGTATTTTGTCCAATGATGTTTTCTACAATTCTATTAAGATGATTATTGATTTTTTTCTCCTTTATTCTGTTAATATGGTGAGTTACATTGCATTTATGAAATAAATCCAACTGGATCACAATGTATTCTTTCTATGTTAGTGGATTGGGTTTGGATTCATGAATGACCTACACTAAGAAATTGCTAAAACGTTTTTTGTAAAGATATGAGTCTCCAAATGGGCTTGAAAACCATTTTTTTCTCTTATATTGAATATTTTCTCTGCAGTTATATTTACACTGACAACTTGATCAGACATCATTCTGTTTAAATATAAATAATATATTCATTTTGTGGGTGAAGAACTCACTATTTTCTCTGAAGAACTTAATTTTCTACTAGAGCTAGAAAGCAGAATTTGTGTATATTGTACCTGGCTAGAAATGATAGAAATATTACATTATCCTTTATCACTGACTGTTTTGTTTCCTAACTAATGTAACTTAATAATTTAATAAATTGAAGAGTTTTCAGGTGTTTTAGAACCCCCATTATCTAATTTGACCTTCACAACCTATGAAATATGTAATAAAAAAGCCTCATAAGGAGGTTTTATACTCAAAGTGGTGGGTAGTCTTTCTCTCTCCCTCTTTCCTAACTAAGGTTCAACATGAATGTCAGCAATTAAAAGTTTCTGACTGAAGCTCTCACGTGCTTTGGATTATTTTCTCCTGCATTCTGCATTATGATGACTCTTTGGGAAGGACCCAGTGTTCCAAGGTCCACAATTTAGAGTGCTTGATGCTAGACCCTGGGAGAATTCACACAAAGTCAGAGCATTTTGAGACTGGGGGTGTGGTGGGGAATGGTTATATACAATGACTCTTTAATTGTTATTTGAGGGTATGGATTGATTGCCAAAGAGATAAGGCCCTGCAAAGCTGAACACACACTGCCCCTTTGATCTCATCACAGTGCAATGTAGCTTGGTTATGATTAGGAGATCAGGGTGAAAGACTTGAGAAGATAATATAAAATTAGGACATATGCAATCTTTGTGAGTTTCCTTTTGTAAGTGATGCTTGGAACAGAATTTAACACTTCCATGGCACCCAGCCAGACCTTGATGTCAAAGAGTCTCCTAAAGGCCTGTAACCCAGAGCAATCTCAGCCTTCTTGAGCCACCTGGGACCCTAAGGGGCATGCTGACTATTGAGAGAAGGGATTCCAGTAACAGTAACAGTTACCCTTAATTTCAAGATCAGGAAACTGGAAAAGAAACTTGATGTTTCTGGGTTCTTCACAGAATTGGCAGTGTGGCTGCAAGGCCTTCTGATTGAGTCTCTAAAATCTTAGTTTTGACTTCTATATAATTTTGATATGTCTATTATAAACACCATTTGGCATTTGGCAAGTTTCAGTATTTGCTTTTCTTATTTTTCCTTCCTTCCTTCCTTCCTTCCTTCCTTCCTTCCTTCCTTCCTTCCTCCCCTTCCTCCCCTTCCTCCTTGCCCCCTTCCCCCTTTCCTCCTCTTCCCCCCTCCCTCCCTCCCTCCCTCCCTCCCTTCCTTCCTTCCTTCCTTCCTTCCTTCCTTCCTTCCTTCCTTCCTTCCTTGTAGAAGATAAGGAATATCAACACTTGTGCCCTTATGTGTTGCTTGCTATTCTTATTGTGGGAGCACAGCCAGCCTGCCTGATGGAATTGTCCAACACCTGTTTCTCTCTCACCTTTGCCTACTCATGTTTTCACAAGCAAGTTTCAACTTACCAAGCCTTTGTCTGAATTTGATAATTGCATATTTGCTTTAATCCTTTTTATGTTCTTCTAATATATAAAGTAGAATAGGTCATATTCTTTATCATAATTTTATTGCTAGAGATGTTTGGGCTGTGTGAAATGGAGAGAGTCCCCTGGGTCAAAGGACAGGTGCTACAGAGGTGATGCTGCACAGCACTGATCCTGACAATCTGTTCAGTGCAGCTCTAAAGCTGAGACTCTTCCTTTGTAAGCCTCATTCTTTTTATTTTTTTAAGATTTTATTTATTTATTTTTAGAGATGGAGGAAGGAAAGGAGAAAGAGGTGGAAAGAAACATCAGTGTGTGGTTGCCTCTCACACATCCCCTTCTGGAGACTTGGCCTGCACTCCAGGCATGTGCCCTGACTGGGAATAGAATCGGTGACCTTTTGATTCGCAGACTGGCACTCCATCCACAGAGCTACACCAGATAGGGCTATAAATCTCATTCTTGTTTTTTATTAGTTTTTTTTGTTTGTTTTCTTTTTTCTTTTTTTATTTTAATCTTTGTTCAAGTACAGTTTTCTCCCTTTTAATCCCAATCCAGCTCACCCACCCAACCCTCCCCACTTCCCTCCCATTACCACCTCCCCCCCCAGTTTTTGTCCATGTGTCCTTTAAATTTGTTCCTGTAAACCCTACCCATTCTCCCCTGAAATTCTCTCTTCTCTCCCCTCTGGTCACTATCAGCCTGTCCTCTATTTCAGTGACTTTGGTTAGATTTTGCTTGTTTCTTTGTTTTATTGTTTAGGTTCCTGTTAAAGGTGAGATCATATGGTATTTGTCTTTCACTGCCTGGCTTATTTCGCTTAGCATAATGCTTTCCAGTTCCATCCAAACTGTTGCAAAGGGCAGGAGCTCCTTGTTTCTTTCTGCTGCATAGAATTCCATTGTGTAAATGTACCATAGTTTTTTGATCCATTCATTTACTGATGGGCATCTAGGTTGCTTCCAGCACCTAGCTATTGTAAATTGTGCTGCTATGAACATCGGGGTACAAAGGTTCTTTTGTATTGGTGTTTTAGTGTTCTTAGGATAGAGTCCCAGCAGTGGAATTGCTGGGTCAAAAGGCAGATCCATTTTAAGTTTTCTGAAGAAGTTCCATACTGCTTTCCATAGTGGTTGTACCAGTCTGCAGTCCCACCAACAGTGCACTAGGGTCCCCTTTTCTCCACAACCTCTCCAACTCTTGTTGTTTGTTGCTTTGTTTATGATGGCCGTTCTGACTGGTGTGAAGTGGTATCTCATGGTGGTTTTAATTTGCATTTCTCTGATAGCTAGCGATATTGAACATCGTTTCATGTGTCTTTGGATCTTCTGTATGTCCTCCTTGGAGAAGTGTCTGTTCAAGTCCTTTGCCCATTTTTTAATTGGGTTGCTTGTCTTCTTAGAGTGGAGTCGTGTAAGTTCTTTATATATTTTGGAGATTAAACCCTTGTCTGAGGTATCATTGGCAAATATGTTTTCCCATACAGTTGGTTCTGTTTTTATTTTGATACTGTTTTCTTTAGCTGTGCAGAAGCTTTTAATTTTGATGAGGTCCCATTTGTTTATTTTTTCCTTTATGTCCCTTGCTTTAGGAGACATGTCAGTAAAAAAGTTTCTGCATGAAATATCTGAGATTTTCCTACCTACATTCTCTTCTAGGACTTTAATGGTATCATGGTTTATATTTAAGTCTTTTATCCACCTTGAATTTATTTTTGTATAAGGTGTAAGTTGGTGCTCGAGTTTCATTTTTTTGCATGTAGCTGTCCAGTTCTTCCAACACCATTTGTTGAAGACGCTATGTGGCTCAGTTGGTTGGATGTCATCCTGCAAAATAAAAGGTGACCGGTTCTATTCCCAGTCAGGGCACATGCCTGCATTGTGGGTTTGGTCACTGATTGGGTTGTGTAGGAGAGGCAACTGATTGTTTCTCTCTCATAGTGATGTTTCTCTCTCTCTCTCTTTCTCCCTTCCTTCCCCTCTCTCTAAAAATAAATATATAAAATCTTTTAAAAAGTAAAATATAAAAAGAAAAGCACCTATAATTCCTCCATTCAAGAATTATTCAATTTAATTTTGTATGTTTCTCTCTATACATTTTATTATATACTTGTTAAGTTGATGCGCTTTAGTAGTGTTAGCCCTTTGGACAAGTTAAAAGCAACAGAAATGTAATGAGTGTGGGATTTGTTAGAAGGTCTTAAACTTTGATTTTCTTTCTTTGGGAAATCATAGTGGTGATAGCTATTCATATAGACTATTCACAGACTTCTTTCTATTTTGATGCAGTTGTGGTGTAAATTGTTTTATCTTGATTTTACTCTAGGGCTTTTAGAATTAGATTTTGCTGGAGTCAACTTTGACTTAATGCTTGTATACATTACAGGTATTAGAAAAAAAATCCCATTCTCTCAAAAGTCTCTGGAGCACTGGCAAACTAATTAAAACCACCCAGATTGAGTAAATACATTTTTGATTATCAGTAACACAGTAAGGTTTTTTTAGTCACAAAGTTTGCTCAGTACTTGAGGAAAAAACTCCGAACTATCATATACAGTGTCTGAATTCACTCAAAGTGTACCTGCATATTTATAAATGTTTCAGTATCTTTTTGTTGCAAAGACCATGGATTAGCTCAGATGGTTAAAGTATGGCACTAAAGGGTCCAAGGACATGGGATTGAATGGCGGGTAGACAACTTTGACTATT